CCCTCTCTTTCCCTCCCCCCACCCCCCCCCCCGATTCCAACCCCCTCTAAACAAACTCTCACCCAAGCTCTCTTTGCATCACATATTCTGCCTCCCTGCCTGTGTTCCTCATCTGACATGGAACCCACCAAGGTCTCATCCCTGCTGCATTTTTCAGTTTTGTTTTTGTTTGGAGACAGAGTCTTACAATGGAGCCCCGATTGGTCTGCAGCTCCCTATGTAGACCAGGCTGGCCCTGAACATTACAGAGATTCATCTACCTCTGCCTCCCTAGTGCTGGGGGTAATGGTGTGTGCCACAACACAGGGCTTCATTGCCTTCTTTTACCATCTTAAAGGTAGAACTTGATGCTGATCTCTGTCTTATCTTCTCCCCTCTTACCCACAAAACTACTTGGTAATCCAGGGCAAATGGGTATTTATTTGAAAGTAGATGTTTACAGAGCTGGGCATGATGGCACACCCAGGAGGTGGAGACAGGAGGATTGCTTTAAGTTCTTGGCCAGTCTGGGCTATGTAGTGAGTGCCAGGCCAGTTGGGTCTCCAATCAAAATAAAGTCAGAGCAGAAAAGGGAAAACACATGTTGCCATGTGGTGGTGGGGACATTCAAGTGGCCCCCATCAATACTGACCTTGTCAAGTGTCTACTTAACTCGTGGACTTCCATTTCAGTGCTCTTAAACTCATTGAGCTCCTTCCGAATGGCAGCCTAGAAGAGTGGCAGCTGGTCAGCATGCTGAAGAAGCGGGAGGGCCTCCCCATTTGTCATATCTAGAAATATTTCTGTTCTTCCACTGATATAGGTGGGTCTTCTATCTACCTGTTGTTTCATTGGTTAATTAATAAAGAAAACTGCTTGGCCTGATAGGTCAGAACATAGGTAGGCGGGGAAGACAGAATAGAATGCTGGGAAGAAGGCAGTGAGGCACACGCTATAGCTCTCCTCTCCAAGATGGACGCAGGTTAAGATCCTTCCCAGTAAGCCACCACCTCGTGGTGCTACACATTATTAGAAATGGGTTAATCAAAATGTGAGAGTTAGCCAGTAAGAGGCTGAAACTAACGGGCCAAGCAGTGCTTAAAATGAATACAGTTTCCACGTAATTATTTTGGGTAAAGCTAGCCGGGTGGGAGGCGGGAAGTGGCCTTCCGTTCCACTACATTCCACACAACTACATAAAAAATGTCACCTGGGGTGTCCTTAAAACCCTCCAGGATTTACCTTCTTCGGGGACACCATGAGGCTCTAATGGAGCCGACCATATTTTATGAGGTCTCTGCACCCCTTGCTTCCCATGGGGTTACAGATGGCACACACGGTACTTTGGTTTCACCTCCCTTTGGCAGTTCTGCTGGGTACCCGGAGAGGTGTCTTGACACAGAGAGTCAGTGGAGGCTCATGCTAAGAATGGCTCTGGGCCTAGTCCAGTGTTATTCTGTCTTTCTGGGAATAGTCCCCTGACATGCGAACTGAAGGATCTTGTGTCGGATGGAACTCTACTTCTCAATGCCACCATACTAGGTGGGGGACCTTTCCGAGGCAATCTGGCTGTTAAGAGGGACTGCCGCCTTCATCAGGGATGGGTTCAGTTTAACAGGAGGAGCAGGCTGTAACAAAGTAAGACTCCTATATTTTCTCTCTGGCATGTGTCTAGCTGAAGCACAATTAATTTCTGACCTTCAGGTACACTTTATTTATTAAAATACGAAAGAAATGCCACTACATCTAACTCCTGACTTATGCCTGTTATGGAGCAGTGTGAGGTTCTCACCAGAGGAGGCTGCCTGACCTTGGGCTTTCTGGCTTGCACAAACTTTAGTCTTTAAATAACCTTTCTAAATAAAATTATGAAGCCTCAAATGTTCTGTTATAGCACCCACAAATGGGCCAAGATTCTGTCCTCCCTCCTCCGGGGAGGCAGGCACAGTATCTTCTGTGTCTTTTCCATGTGAAGAACCAATTGAGTGTCTTCCCACAGGTCATCTGGGGTGCTCCTGTGAGCGGCCTTAGGATGCTCCTGTGTGCAGCTCTTTCAAGACAGGGCTCCCGCTCTCCTTACCTATAAGGCCGCGCCTCCCTTCTCACCACCCCTGCCTACCTTGTCAGCTGCTGTGAGTCGTGTCCATGGCTTATCTGCTCTGCGGTCATAGTCCTGGGCATCTGCCACCTCCACATAGTCACTGAAGCGGATGAGGATCTTCCTCTCGCGAAGTTCTTCCACCGTGGGCCTTTGACTGAGCTGCAAGGAGGGAGGAGGAGGAGGACTTTAGACCATGGGTTCAGTTGTGAACTTGTACGTGTGGACAGTGAGTCCAGGAAGACAACTGATACAGCAAGATGGAGCAGGGAGCAGACCCCAGAGTGCTTAACTCCGGGATTCTGAGAGTATTGTCCCTTTCAACCTCTCCATCTTACAAAGATGACAACCGCCTGTCCTTTGTCATACTGCTTTTTTGGCCTGATAGGAAGCCTGGTTGTCTGTGTAGCCGAGAGAGCATGCTGTGGATTTTCCCTGTCTGTCTTTCACCCAGTGAGAGGCAAGCACCTTAAGCAATGATTCTGTCTAAACTTGGATTGGTGAGTCCACGTCTCTGTCTTAAATTTAGTGCTGTTTGTAAAATGTGTGTTTGTAACACAATATGTGTGTGTGCAAATACATATTATGTAGACACACATGAGTATGTGTGTCTACATATACATATGTGCCTGTGTGCATTAGGCATACAGAAGAGCATTCGCAAATGGTATGCACGCAGCCTCTGGAGTGTGAGGGGGTGGGATATGTTGATTTAGGAGTTTTTAGGGTTTCTTTCAGAAGGTCAGTTATAAGGTTAGTAAGCCAACACAGAGCTGAGCAAAGCTACACATATGCCATGGAGAAAAACTTTGTGAGGAAGGAAGAATAAAATCCTGTTTATTTAACCATCCCCTGGTATGCCCCCTGAGCACCCTTCCTCTGTCCCTTAACTATATAAAGCTGACATTTCTATTATATTTCTTCTGGAGCAACACAACCATTCCCTTTACGATGCTGTCAACTCATGTTCAACCAATGCTACTTAAAAACAGCGTCTCCTCCGAGCCCTAGACTGTTCACGGCTATTAATAGAAGAGGCATTCAGATAAAGTCTTACAGCTCTGGTCTATAAAACAAACAGCAAATCCAAATTACTCTGGCTGTTTTGACTGCCACGCAGCTATCTGCCTGATGCCCTTGGCTGGAGCTGGAATGTTTCAGCGTGCCGCTGCCATGGCACCGTTAAACAGAGGGGTTCCTGGTGGTGAGCACAAGGGGAGGACTGACTAGGCCTGTGGCTCCTTCTTGGCTAAAGGAGGATGTTCCAAGAATCAGAAAGAAGTCTAATGATTATGGAACTGGCCCATGCCTAGAGCAGTAGTGTTTTTAGTCTGTCCCAAGGCACCAGATATTTTCTGAGGGCTAGACGCTTTGACATCCATGTTGTCTGTCATGAGCAAGTTTCCCAAGCTATGTGGCCAAGGTTGCTGGAAATAAAAAAGGTGGCCAGCTTGGCACCCAAATGTTCTTTCTGAAATATGAGAGCTGATAGAATTTGTACTGAAGTTAAAAATAAAAAAAACCCACATTTAATTTTTGCCACATTCACACCAGATAAACAGATAGTTAATCAAACTCTCCATTTTGTGTTTTTTGATCCAGTTACCTCAGGATGTTAGATAAGTAGTGTTAATTTTTATGTTTGTTACATCCTGAGCAAGGTTCTTAAGTCATGACTTCTGAATTTACCTTTCTGGAAACCACCCTGGGGTAGTTGGTTGTAGCGTCTGACATCTTCAATCTCAGTACTCAGGAGGTTAAGGCAAGAGGTTCTAGAGTTCAAGGCCAGCCTGGGCTACTTGGTGAATTCAGGGCTAGTTTGTGTTACTCTAGCAATAGTCTATCTGCCCCCTCCCTAGCTTCAAAGAAGTAAATGAATAAATAAATCATTATCTAGCGTTTACCAGTTGCCTGTCTAATAGCAGAATCTGGAGAGAAGAGAAGACTTGATGATGGATGGGTTAAAGGACAGGGATGAAGGATGGATGGGCTCAAGGACGGGGTGAAAGATGGGCTCAGGGACAGGGATGAAGGATGGGCTCAAGGACAGGGGTGAAGGATGGATGGGCTCAAGGACAGGGATGAAGGATGGATGGGCTCAAGGACAGGAATGAAGGATGGATGGGCTCAAGGACAGGGATGAAGGATGGATGGGCTCAAGGACAGGGATGAAGGATGGATGGGCTCAAGGACAGGGATGAAGGATGG